GCATGGTACCACCCCACTCCTCACCCTCCTGAGGTGGGGGGAAACTGTTCCCCCAGGGTTGGGGTCTCTCTGTGCTTGGCTTTCCTGGGGGCTCCTCTGCTCTGTGTCTGTAGCCAGTGTCCCTTGGTGGCGTCCCCTTGTAGAACCTCTGGTACCAAAAGCCACAGCAGGGTGATCTTCTGGTGGCTGCTCCCCAAAAAGGTTTTCTCATGGGGAGCATGAGGGGATCTCTGCTAACACCGAGCCACTGGAGGGGGGTTGTGTCTCTGTTCTGGGGGGACATATGTGTCCTTGGGCTCATGGGGTGGGCAGCCAGTGTGGGGGACCCCAGTTTCAGGCCCAGAGCAGGACAGTGGGTGCTGGGGTGCTCGGCAGGGTTGGGGAGTGCCAGTGATGTCGGGTCTGTCCGCAGGCACTGCAGAGGCTGGCAAGCCAGTTCGTGAAGAGAGACTGGCAGCGGGGCCGCGGCGAGGCCGGCGACTCCAGGTGGGCTGGGGACAGGGCCAGGGGTGGGGACAAGGGGCCGGGGCTGGCTATGGCCTCCCAGCTGGGAGATACCTAATGCCAACTGGGACTCAGGTCCAGGGATGCAGTCCTGGGTAGGATGTCCCCATGGGTGCGGTGCCCGACTGGGAGGGCTCCACCAGGGCTGGGGTTGCTGTCTGTCCTGCTGGCTGTCCCCAAAAGCTGGCAGTGGGGCAGGGAGCACCTGCCCTGCGTTCACCCCGTGCCCGCAGGAGCGTGGCCGCTGTCTGGAAGGGCGTCATCGAGGGGACGGCGCACGCCGGGCAGGTCCGTGTCACCGCCTCAGAGAGCTACCGCGCCCTGGCCGCCGAGGCTGCCCGCACCGCCCGCCTCTCCAAGGAGAGGATGCTCAAGAAGGTACCGGGGCGAGGACGTGTCCCCTGTGCCCGGGCGGTGGGGACAGCTGTCCCCCCGCCGGCTGACGCTCCCCACAGGGCATGGAGCGGCTGCAGAAGGCGCAGGCGGAGCTGCTGGAGTCGGTGAAGGAGCTGGACAAGGCCAAGAAGCAGTTCACACACCTCCAGCGGAGCAGCGAAGTGGCCAGGGACAAGGCGGCTGACGTGGAGGCTCGGTGAGCGTGGGGGACAATACGGGGGCTGCTGTGGCTGTGGAGTGGTCTCACACCCCTCTCCCATCCTCCCCAGCCTCCGGAAGAGCGACCGGCGGATATTTCACACCAAGGCCAGTCTGCAAAAGCTCAGTGCCAAGGTCAGCAGCGCAGGGGACTGGCAGGGTACCCAGGCGGGTGGATGCAGAGGGACACAGAGCGGTGGCCCCCACACTATCAACCAAGCCCTGCTCTCCCCATCCCTGTAGTTCTCAGCACGGCTGGCCGAGCACTCGAGGCAGCTGGCGGGGGTGCAGAACGAGTACAGCTTTGCCCTGGTCTCTGCCACTGCCCACCTGGAGCATTACCAGCGCGTGGAGCTGCCCGCAGCCATGCAGGTAAGAGCTGCCCAGACCCCCCTGTGCCCCCTCCCCAGGGTCCCACCAGGAACATCTCCCCCGTGCTGCTGCAAGGGGGGCAGCAGGGAGGGTCCCGCCAGCACAGTCAGGGATGCTCCAGGAGGGATACAGGCAGTGCTGGGGGGGTTCCCACCCCCTTTTCCCCAGGCGCTGGACGGGGACCTCTACGAGCGGCTCCGGGAGCACTTGTCGGCCGCCAGCCGGACGGAGGTGGAGACCTGCCGGGCCACGCGGGACTGGTTCCAGGGCGTTGCAGAGGCATCCGCGCGGGTAACGGCCCGTCCCGGGAGCTGGGTGGGACAGGAGGGCACAGGTGAGCCCCCCGGCCCCACAGCACTCCCCTGCCGCAGGTGTGCCGGGAGCAGGACCTCCTCCTCTTCCTGCAGGACCACCCGGCCTTCTCCCTGGCCCCCGAGCAGCGCTTCCAGCTCACCGGGGTGGAGGAGGTAGGTGAGGGGGACACATTACAGCAGTGTGGGGGTCTGTGCAGCCAAGCCCTTCTCACCCCCGTGTCCTTGCCCAGGTGTGCCTGCTGCCGCCAGGGGATGATGGAGCCAGCCTGGAGAAGGAAGCCCGGCGCTGGGCCACGCGCGTGACCCGGGACTGCAAAAACAAGGCACACAGCGAGGAGGTGGGTGTTGTCCTGCCCCATGGGACAGGATGGGGGGCTCAAGGAGCAGTTCCATTCCCTCAGCAGCTCCCACCACCCTCTGACCCGCGGGTGCCCTCCAGGTGCTGCAGCGACTGGAGGCCAGGCGGCAGCAGGTCCCCGAGGGGGAAGCGGCGACCGTGGAGCGGCAGATGGAAGAAGCAAGGGAAAACATCCGGAAGGCGGAGGTGGGTCCCCCAAGCAGGTCTGTCACCCCCAGGGTGGGGGACACAGGGATGGGGAGGTGTGGTGGCTGGGATGTGGTGCTGGGGATGTGTCCCTGGGGATGCTCTTACCACTGTGGCCGCCACGCTGGGGATGGGGACAATGGGGTTGGGACTGGCTGTCCCCCCACCGTGGGTGTCCCCTGAGACTCTGGCACTGTGGGTGTCCCCAGGTCAGCCGAGTGAAGGCCGAGGCACGGCTGGCACTGCTGCGGGCAGCAGGGCTGGACGTGGATGCCTGGCTGGCGGGGGCCATGGTGGGGACAGGCGAGGAGACACCCACGGGGCTGGATCCGGCCGAGTTCGATGACTACGAGGACAGTGACGAGCCAGACGGGGACGATGAGCCTGGTCCTGCTGCTCGCACCTACCCCTACACCTGCCGGGTCATCTTTGGGTACCAGGTACGGCCCCAGCTGCCTGTCTCTCACCCTGCCTGCCCAGGGATGGCATCTCAGCCTCCCTGCCACTTTGTCCCTCTGCCCTGCAGGGCTGCCAGGCGGACGAGCTGTCCATCACCCAGGGCGAGGAGCTGGAGGTCATCGAGGACGGGGACGCAGAGGAATGGGTGAAGGTGGGAGCAGGCTGAGTCCCACCATTTCGAGGTCCCCAGGTTGTTCCCTGTCCACAGGCTGGGATGTTCACATGGTTTCTGCCCCCTCAGGCTCGGAACAAGGCAGGCCAGGTCGGCTACGTCCCCGAAAAGTACCTGCTGTCCCTCGGGTGCGAGTCAGGGGCCGGGCTTGGCCCCCCAGGACCCTCGGCGTTGCACCGCCAGCTCTCCAGCATCATGGCAGCAGAACTGGTGCTGGAGCCTGGAGGTGGGTGCTGCACAATCACCCCCACCCCGGGGGGGGGGACGGGACCCTGGAAGGTGCTGAGCACTCTCTCCATCATCCCCACAGCCTGGCTGGTGCGAGCCCTGTACGACTACGAGGGGCAGAGCCCTGAGGAGCTGAGTTTCCCCGAGGGAGCCATCATCCGGGTGCTGCCCCGTGCCGCTGGAGAGGTGGACGACGGATTCTGGACCGGCGACTTCGACGGCCGCATCGGCGTCTTCCCCTCCCTGGTGGTGGAGGAGCTCACCGGGGCCCGGGAGGTGGCAGAGCAGGTCAGTGGCGGGAGGGTCACTGGGCGTTGTTCCCACTGTCTGCTGGGGGAAAAGACCCCCTTCCCATTGTTCCCATCCCTCTTGGTCGTGTCTTCCCAGGAGCTGCCGTCGCCATCCCCTCCACCCTTCTCCCCTCCTGGCCTTGCCCCCGGAGCCGTGCTGACCCCCAGCCCTGCTCCTGAGACATCACTGGGAGGTGAGTGCTGGGGGGGGGGAGCTGGGAAGGGGCTGGGAGGGCCTGGAAAGCCAGGCTGAGCTGCTGGGCCCTTCCAGGTTGCCGGCAGGATGGCACGGGCAGCGGGCAGAGCTCTCCGGACCTGGCAGCCACCCGACTCCGGCCGGTAAGACCCCCCAATCCTCCCCCAGCTCTCCCATGACAAGGGATGGTGTCACCTGTGTGCTCTGGGGGGTGTCAGGGGGCACGAGTGGCCTCAGCATGTTGGCACTGCTTCTCCTCTCCTCTCTCTGCAGCTCCGTGCGCCGCCCCCACCACCCGGCAGAGTCCCCGAGCCCGACCCCGAGCTGCACTTCAGCTGACCCTGCGAGTCCCCCTCATCCCTCTCTGCCCCCCAAAAAGCTTTGCCCGAGCAAACCACCACAGGCTGCTGTCCCTGGCACTGCCCCACGCCCCGAGCTGGTCTCTCCAGGGGCTACAACCCACCCAGTGCCACTTGCAGAGTGTTCCTGCATCCCAGTGCAGCACCAGGAACCCTGGCTAGCCCCTTTTCCGGGTGCTCAGTGCCACAGCCAGGCCCCATCTCACCCACCTCTTGCCTCTGCCCTTTCTGCCTGGCGTCACCCGTGCACCCCCTGCACAGCCCTGGTTCCTGGGGGGGATCATCCCTGGACCCTGCCAGCCCCCCACAGGCAGGAGTGAGGGGAGGGGGGCCTGTTCCCAATAAATCCAGTTGTCTGGCGAGGGGTTCAGCAGCTTTAATGATTGTAGCTCGTCTATGTACAGGGCGGTTACACCGAAGCTCGGGCAGGCACCGGGGCTGCCCGCTGGCCTGGCCAGGGGGTGATCCCGCCCCTGGGCCGGGCTCCGGCCCCTCCTGTGCTGGGATGGGGCTGGAAGCTCCTGTCTCCGCCAGCATCCCCCGGGGACCGGCAGGGTCCCTCGCCGGTGCAGGATTTGTGCCTGTGCCCGCTCTGCGTGGCAGGAGTGCCCGGGGGGGCTGTGCTCTGCAGTGAACGTGCCGGGTGGGTGGGGGGGTGCTGCCCCCCGCCCGGGGGGGCCCGAGCCGCTGCCTCCATCCCCGCCCCTCGCTGCAGCCCCCGCTCTGATCCTTGCCCCGGAGCTGGGGGCGCTGCAGGGGCCGGGTGGGCGGCGGGGACAGGGTGCTGTCCTGCCCCTGCCTTGCCCGCCCGCCCCCCGGGGGGGTCTCCGGGGCGGGTGCGGTGGGTGGGATCGGGTACCTATTGCCAATGGGATGAGGTCTGGCGCCGAGCGCGGTTGTCGGTAACGCCGGCGCGTCGCTCCGGCCATGCCAAGCGCGTAGCTGCCCACCCGGGGCCGGGGCCGGCTGCCCCGCGGCTGCCCCACGGCAGAGCCCCCCGCCCGGCGTGGGGGCCGGGGGCTGCGCGCCTCCTGTCCACGCTCCAGCCGGGAGCGGAGAGGAGCTGTGGGGGAGAGGGGCAGGATAGAATTTGTCCCCACCAACCGTAGCATCCCCCCATCCGCCCCCAGGCCCGTGTCTGCCCGCTGGCATCACTGCCCGCGGCTGGGCATGTGGTCCTGCCCGTGCGGGACCTGGAGCACTGGAAACCGACCCCCCTGGAGAAGGGGTTCAGCTTCTCTCCGTCTCCATCACCAAGCTGTGATCCAGCAGGGCAGGGACATTGCCAGCGCCCTCCCACCTCACCCCACCCCACCTCGGACGTTGCCCCAGGGGACAAGGGACAAAGCACTCACGTCACACCGTTGATCTCCAGTCCTTCTCCGCGGCGCTGGGCTCCTGTGGGATGGAGGAGGGATGTGCATGGGGAGGGATGTCAGCAGGAGCAGGGTGCTGGGGTGGGGGCCAGTTTTCCCTTGGCCACAGCAGCAACCTTTGGGCCAGTGGGCAGAACCCCACTGAGTCTCCAGGAGCAACTAGAGCCCACACATCTCCTCTGCCCTTCCCCGTTGCCTGCAGGACGTGATGAGCAGCAGCCAACAACCCTTGTGGTGGCCTGACTGGGACTGAGGGGGTAGGGGAGGGTTCAAGTGACAAACATCCCAAGGAGGTCCCATCACCGTTCTCCTGGGCCCCCATGTCCTGGAGCACCTCAACACCACATGCAGGGTCCAAGGCAAGAGTCTGGAGCCACAGAGGGGACACACATCACCAGGTCCCTGGGCTTGCCCTGCATGTAACTGCTTCCCCAGGGATCAGAGGTACCACAGCCATCACCCAAGGTGTACTGAGCCATGGAAGGACCTGTCACCACCTTCCCAGGTCTCTGGAGAATGGTTGCAGCCATCAGCTCTATCCTGCCTGGCTGCCCTGGGCTGCCCTTCTCCATGAAACAGCTCAAACCTTCCAGCCTGGACACCAGAAGGCAAAGAGGGAAACAGTAAAACAGTGGGATCCTTTTTCCTTAGGCTGGCATCCAACCAGGCACCTTTTCCCAGGGTTCTCCCATGGTGACCCAGTCCTGCCCCATCCCAGCCTGTGCCAAGAGCTCTTGGTATGTGCCATGCCCATGGAACTCCAGCAGAGCCAGCCCCAGGGGATCTCCCTGGCCTTGAAGCATGCCAGGAATTTTACCCAGGTGTTTGACTCCCTTTTTCTTCCGAGGACTTCGAGGACTTCGGACTTTACAGGAGTGCCCTCATGCTGGTTTTGTGGGGCAAGTCAAGGCCACTTCTTGGGGCTGCTGACATCACACCAGGGGTGTTTCCCCAGCCCCCTTCCACAAAAATCATCTTACCCCAACTGCAGAACCATGTTGTGAGTGTGAGTGAAACGCTGGGTGTCTGCTCCCACCACCACCTGCCTCGTTTGCTCAGTGCTAAGATCCCAGAGGCAGTTTCAGGGAGCAAATCCCCCAAACTGGGGGCCACCAGTGGCCAAGCAAACCGTGTCATCACCCTAGAGCTCTCTGGCTCCTCCAGCAAGGTGGTTGGGTGGGAAGGTTGGGAGATACCAGGGTGCTGGAGCTTCAGGCAGAGTGAGCTCTCCTCTCTGAGCAGGGAAAACCAACCATTTGGCTTCACAACTCCCTGGATTTCAGGGCAAGAAAGGCTCCTAGAGATACCTCTCCCTGCCTGTTCATTGGTGGCCATGCTGAGGCTGCAGTTTTGGGGACACTATGTGTGGTAGAGCTCCACCAAGTCAGGATTGCAGTGGATATCCCCAAAGAGCTCAACCACAGAGGAAAACATCCCTTGCTCGAGGGGCAGCTGGGTCTGCAGCATCCCCTACTCCCCTTGAAGCATGGGTACCATCAGGGTGGGACCTGTCATGGTGACTCCACGTGCCACAGACATGGAAAATGGGTGGGAAAAAGCAATCCCCTCCAGCCCAGGGGACCACGTGGGGACAAGGAAGAGGAGGAATGTACCTGCTGCTCCTCGTCCTCTGCTCCAGGCTGTCTCCTGCTGCTGTCGTCTCTCCCCAACTCCTCAGCCTGTTCGTGCAGACTCAGGCTCCCGTGAATATCCGACACTTCATCTGCCGACCCCAGTCCGACCTCCTCCAGGCACATGCCAGCTCCTTCCCGCGCCAGCTCTCCCGGGATGCTGGGACTCGACCCTCCCAGCGCCGGATGGCTCAGGAGCCTCCTCTGGCGGCTCCCGCTCCCGGGAGCAGTGCCGGCATCCTGCGGCGAGCCCGCCTTGCCGGACCCCGTGCCCGCTCGACGGCTGTCGCGAGTGCCAGAGCTGGCTGGTGTGTTGGGGGCCGGGGTGGTGGAGAGGCTCTGCTCCACACCTTTGCCGCTCTGGATGTCTCCGTTCTGCAGGCCCCCCGTGGGGACAGTCCCATTGAGGGCCCGCTCCCGCTGGAGCCGGTCGCTGCTGTGCTCCAGCTCCTCCGTGCTCAGCTCCCGGCTGCCGTCGGGCAGGGGGCCGTCCTGCTGCTCTTGGACAGCGGGTTTCTTCCCGATGTGTGTGACGCGAAACCTGGAAAGGGGGGGCAGGGCAGATCAAACTCCTTCCCCTCCTCTCTCACAGCTGTGTTCCCAGCTTGCCTGTACCTCCAGCCTTGGATCTCCTCTCTTTGCCATGATCTCCAAAACTTCAGACTCACTCAGCACCACCCCTACTCTAGCAGTGCCCACACTGACTTAACCCCATTTTCCCCTGCATTTTTAGCAAAATAAAGAGAAAGAGAAGGATGCAGAGTCCAATCCAGATGTCAGCTGGTGCAGACCCTCACAGCTTGTCCTCTCAGCAGCAAGATGGATCACAGCTGCTGGAAATGCTCTGAAACACAGCCTGGGTGACAGTGTGCCCTAAGTGAGGGTAGGGACAGGTTTTGGCAGTGATTTGGGCACAGGGAGTAAAGGCAGCTAAACAACTAAGGAGGAGCTGTTTAGCTAAAATCTGCCAGAGCACACTTTGCACCATCCCCTGGAGTGACGGATGGTACCTGGGTGGTTCACCAAGGTTCCACCATGACCAGGTAACAGCTCAGAGCTCCCAGGTGGGCAGGAGAACAGCTGCAGAGGTTCAAAGGGTGTGTTTAGAATCAGAGGTGATGCAACATTTCACATGAGTAGAGAGAAGTTAGGGATCATAGAATCACAGAATGGTTTGGGTTTGAAAGGTCCTTCAAGACATCTCATTCCACCCCCTGCCATGGGCAGGGACACCTTCCACTAGCCCAGGTTGTTCCAAGCCCCATCCTACCTGGCCTTCAACACTTCCAGGGATGGGGCAGCCACAGCTTCTCTGAGAAACCTGTGCCAGGGCCTCACCATCCTCACAGGGAATGATTCCTTCCCAATATCCCATCTAACCCTGCTCTCTGGCAGTGGGAAGCCATTCCCCCTTGTCCTTGCACTCCAGGCCCTTATCCAAAGTCTCTCAGAGCCCCTTTGGGCACTGGAAGGGGCTGTAAGGTCTCTTTGGAGCCTTCTCTTCTCCAGGCTGAACAACCCCAACTCCCTGAGCTTGTAAGGGGTCAAGTGTAGGCAAGTGTAGTGTAAACTGATCTGGGAGCCAGCTGGTTGTGACTCACTCCGTGACTCCTCCTCACAAGCACTGCCAGCCACTGTTGGACCAGCAGACAGGAAATCTCTTCCATGGTGAGCTGGTGTCCACCAGCCAGTGCACGCCAATCCCACCACAGGGACCTCCTGCAGCCCATGACTCACCCACTCCCGCTCTCCCTGCGCTTGGCTCACACGTGGAGAAGCTGCTGACAGCCCTGGATGTGCTGAGGTTCAGCTGCGAGACAGCACCAGGGCAAAACACAACTCCACAGCAAAGCTCAAGCACTGCTGGGGTTGAAAGAAGAGCAAGACCCAAAGGTCAAGAGTGGCAGCTTTTGAAGGGAGGAGCAGAGAGGTCTGAGAGATAAGGACAGATGCCAGGTGGGATGGAGACCACCAGCAGGCTGAGGACCAGCCTGTGGACAGCACCGACCCCTCAGCACGGTCAGAAATGCTGCTCAGGATTGGAAGAGTCAAGAGGAGAAATGCTCCAGCTCCAGACAAAATACCCACAGGTCTGCTCAGGTCAGGCCAAGCAGCAGCAAATGTGGCCTTTCAGGTCTGTCCAGGTATTGGGAGACAAGACACCAGCGCTGCGATTTGGGAAGACCAAAGAATGTTCTGGTCCCAAAGAGGGACTGGGAGGAGGCACAAGTGGCAGGATCACATCTTGGTGATGCCGTTGAGCAATGTCAGCCTGGAAGAGCTGAATGGATTCAAAGTGCAGGAAAGGTTTGGAGCGGAGGGGACACGAGAGGTAACGTAACCAACCTCCGGCTGGCGAGGGGAAGGCAGAGAGCTCTGGCTGGCTGCCTCATCAGCATCACTGAGGCTTTGGATTCAGTAGGATGTGACACACTGTGGCTGATCAGGCTGAGGACAGGCAGTCAGATTCAGATGCTTTGGTGGATGAGCTCTGCCACTGACAACAGCTGGTTTAGGGAAAGCCCTGAGAGAAATGGTAAATCATCCTGTGACATGAAAGTACAGATCAGCAGCACTCCAGATTGCTGCAGAAGTGCAGAATAATTTAGGGGCAAAAAGCCCTCAGGAGGTCTCCAGTCACATCCCCTGCTCAAAGCTGGGCTACCTCCCACCCTCAATCAATTTGCCCAGAGCCCCATCCAGTCAGGATTTGGAAACCTCCAAGAATGGAGATCTCTCCACCCCTGAGGACTCTGTCCCAGGTCTGCACTTCATGGTGAAATAGCTTTTCCTTCATGGTGAAATAGCTTTTTATTTTGTCTTTTCTCGTTTTCTTTTCTTGAAATTTATGGCCTTTGCCTCTTGCCCTTCCCTGTGCATGTCTGAGAAGAGTCTTGTTCCACCTTCATTTAAACTCTGCCCACCCTTTGGGTAGTGTTAGAGAACAATTAGACCCTCCCTTTATAATTCTTCAGGCTAAAAAAGCCTCCTCACATGCCACATTCTCCAGCCCCAGATGACCTTGGTGGACCTCCACAGTTCTTATCCTTTCCAGTCCTTCAGCCACGACCCTGTGTCTACCAGGACCAGGACTCAGTCCATGTAGGAGGGGGCTGGACTCTCAACCAGTGTCCAAGAGAAAAAAAACAAACTAAAAATAAAAGAGAAAAAGACCTGAGGTTGAGCCTTTAATCCAAGAGGTGGGTTAAAGAAGCTGGTTTACGTAGGGTCAGTCTTGAGTCAAGGTACTTCGTGCAATCAAGATATTTGTCATAAATAAGACACAGCAAAGACAGTCCTGGGAAAGTCACCAAAGATCTGGAAGGGACGGGGCCAGTTTGGAAACAAGAAGCAGAATCTGGAGGTGGGTTTGTACCTCGTGGGCACATAGGTCCTCGTACCAAGGAGACTGGGGATTTAAAATACAGCCTTGGAGAAATGGGATGACTGTCCTGCGAAGGTTGGTGGGACATGGGATATGAACAGGGATAAGGGGAGAAACCAAGATTTGAGGGAAGTTGCCTTTAGGAAAGGAGACCATCTTCTCTGGCACTCAGAGGTGAGTGACAGGAGACTGGGAAGGGCCTGGACAAAGGACATGGAGGAGTGGATGGAGCTGGACACCAGCCAGGGAATGAATTAGCCATGAATACACAACTGTGCAGAGACCTGGCTTACAGAACACCAGGAGCTGTCAGTCCCCAGATGTGATCTGAGCTGGAATTCAGCATGGGGAGATCCACCATGTCTCCCCCTTCTCCAGCTCCCCATAAAGCCCCAGGACCTCCCTACTGAAGCTCCTGGCTCTGACAGTGGAAAAACCCCCATGACAGGACAAGGGGGAATGGCTTCCCACTGCCAGAGGGCAGGGTTAGATGGGATATTGGGAAGGAATTCTTCCCTGGGAGGGTGGGGAGGCCCTGGCACAGGTTGTCCAGAGAAGCTGTGGCTGCCCCTGGATCCCTGGAAGTGTCCAAGGCCAGGTTGGATGGGGCTTGGAGCAACCTGGGATAGGGGAAGGTGTCCCTGCCCATGGCAGGGGTTTGGAATAAGATGAGTTTTGAGGTCCCTCCCAACCCAAACCACTCCATGATTCCATGTCCACTCTGGCTCAGCATTCCCATGGAAGGACTGTCTCTCTGGACCACAACATGCAGCTTTATCAAGGCTCAGTCTCTGAATGAAGTCCTGCTGCAGGATTTGAGTATGACAGAGCTTTGTGCCTCACCAGTGTGGCCATCCAGGGACTGGCAGTTGCTTGTCACCCTGTGCAAGTCACCATTGCTGTGGGGAGCTGAGCCCTGGGAGACTTTCCTAAGCCTTTCTGCTCGGGAATGGGGCAACCTGGACGAGCCTAGAGACTGCCCTGCAGATTATTGATTACACAGAGACCACAGGAAGCTCAGGAAGTCCCTTGAGGTGAGACCAGGTGGGGACTGGAGAAGTATTTGTGGGAAGTATCAGGAGCACTCCCCTATTCTTATATTCCTGCTGTGTCATCTAATTACAGATACCATTGGAGGCAACGACCTGGGGCAGCAGAGCCACTCTTTCATTCTGGTGGTGGTAGGAGGTAACTTGCACCTGGGGCATGCTGCCCCCTCCTTCTCCTCCTGAGGAGGTTCCTAAAGCCCCCAGTTGGGCAGCAGGAGCCCTGCTTGAATGGAGCTGGGACAGCAGACTGGAAGGACACGGACCTGGGGCTGTGCCCAGCACTGACTCAGCAGGAAAAGCCAGGCTTGAGTCACCTTCCCAGAGAAGGAGGGAAGCCACGGGTGCATCACAGCCCTCCACACACCACAGGCATTTCCAGGTGCAAGAGCCACCTGGGTCCTTGGGACTTCCAGCTCCAGAGCTGCTGCTGAAGCATCTCAGCAGGGAAGAGCAAGAGGGAGCCCAGCCTGGGGCAGGGGAGGAAGGGGAAAGGAATCAGGGGACTGAGGAGAGCCCATGGTGCTTGTTCCATCAGGGCCGTGGCTGGCAAAGCTGGTTTAGGTACCTGCCCACTGAGAAGACGGTGGTCTCTCCGGGATGCATCCGGCCTTTGCCCTCCTTGGACCGTCCCTGTCGCTGCAGCGGGGGCCTCTTCCTGCGGCTACAGTGGATGCAGGGGGCCTGTGTGGAGCCCAGGTGCACCGTGTGGTGGTGTGGTGGGCCCCCATCCTGGCTGTGGGGACAAAGGCTGCAACAGGGGAAGGACAGGACAGGTCGTGTTATCCATAGGAGTCACCCCAACCTTGGTGCAGCCCCACTGCAGCAAGCACTGGGAGCAGCAGCTCTGGAAGGGACCTCCACTGAGGATAGGAATGAAAAAGAGCTATTCCCCTTGCCAGTGGGGTGAAGCACTCCTGGAAACCCTCAGGAGAGCAAGACTTCTTATGGGGAAGATGCTTTGTGACAGCTGGAACGGGACTGGCTGCAGTCTCCAGACCAAAGGGATACCCAAAGGCTGCTTCTCCCCCGCTCTGCATCGGCCACAAGCTGCTATTGGCTTCCCTCACCTCACTGGCACTGGGATGTCCCCTTCATTTTCCCCCAGCATCTCCTTGAGAGCCTCTGCATTTGCTGAAGAGAGAGGAAAACAGGGATGTGTCAGCCAAAGTGGTCAGCACGGCTCCAGGCCGGCCCATGGACGTGCTCACCTTCGTTTTGTATGATGCATCTCACGATCTTCTCCACGGTGTCCTCGTTCAGCTCCTCCTCTTCATCTGAAAAGAGACAACAGGGCCCTGAGGGCTGGGATTTGGAGACTCTACTCAGAGTTCTCTCCCCAGGAGCAGCCACGACCACAGAGAGGTTGGAGAAGCCTCATATTTCTCATTATGCTGGGAAGATACTGGGGAACACCAGATCCCTCACCCTGGAAAGGAAATGGCTGAGCCAGCAGCTGTGTGTGCAGGGAGAGGGGGGTTGTGTTGCTCCTTCAGAACTGGGGAACATCTGGAGAAATGAGTGGGAAGCAGGTCCCAAAAAGTTGAAAGAGGAGGCTCCTTGTAGGGACAGTCCAGCCCAGGAGCATCTGGATGCAGGATGCTGAGAGTGTTCGAGTCTCCAAGGGTAAACAGGACATATTCACAGAAAATAAACCCACTGGGGCCTGTTAAACACAGAAAAAATACCTCTGATGGAGAAAGCCCCAGAGCTGCACACTGTTAGAAGCTTAAAAGGGGAAACTTGACTGATGCTTGCTCTGCTTGTGGAATTCTTCTCCAACGTTTATTACAACCTGCTTTTGAACACTGCTGGAGGCAGGAGGCCCGGAAGGATGGACTTTCAGCACGGTCTGCTGTGTTAGCTGTTCCTGTAAGCTCTTTGGAGCTGTGGTCTGGCAGGCAGCTGCCTCAAAGAACATGGTCAAGGGCTGCCACCATGGTCCTGGAAGTCCATGGAGATGTTTCCCTGGGCTGTGGTATCTCCAGAGGGCAAAGCCAATCCTGGAAGGCTCACTGTCTCCATGTCTGTACAGCCAGGTCATTAGAGCCACAGAAGCAGATCCGTGGACACCTGGAAGCTCTTGCTGCATCCGTGGGTGAGCTGGAGGAGCCACATTCCCCCCCGTGCACGAGAAACGGCAGCAGGAGGTGCTGATCCTCCCAGGCACATGGAAGCTGGAGGAGTTATGCAGCACCATGTGGCTGTTTCCAGCTAAGGAAGCAGCTGAAGGAGTGTGCCTTCCCCATTTCAGCAGAGACTCATGAAACCAACTTGGGCCGGGCTCTACTTTGCACCCACGCTCGATGCTGCAGTGACTTCCCAACCCAACCACCCAAGAGCAACTTACAGTGGCCTGAAGCAATGGGAAAAAATCTCTAAAGGTCCCATTCTAGCCCAGTGATCAAGGAAATATCCCTATTCCTCTGCCCTGCACAGCAGGGACTGGAAGAAGACAAAACCAGCACCATGCTGGCCCCATGCCAGACCTCCTAATGCCCAAGGGGCAGAGGTGACACCTTGTATCCCTGCCTGGGGAGCATGGATTATAATTCAGGCACTGGGAATTCAGCAGGTCCATCAGAATTACCTTTTGGTGGTAATGTTCCTTTGGGAAGAGCCAGACACTGGCTCCCACCTCCCTGTCACCACCAGCTTGTGGAGCCAGCAGATCAGAGGGATCCCCAGGCCACACACTCCCCATCCTCAGGGAACACTCTCTCCATCCCTTTTTCCCAACCCAGCCACACGTCACAGGTAACTCTCCCAGTCCCATCCCACATCCCAGAAGCGTGTATAAGGAGCACCAGTCCATGCTGGACAAAAGGCAGCCCCCCCAAGCCCCCAGCACTCACTGTCCTGGAGCTCTGCCAGCACATCTTTGTTATCTGGGTCAAGATCGTCCCGGAAGGTCCGGCACCGGTAACCCTTCTTCTTCAGGACATGGCAGATCAGGAAACCCACCAGCCCCATGATGAAGAAGACCAGGACGAGGAGGAAGACCATAGACAGGCTGTGCTGGGGGTCTGACTCCCCATCGTCGGTGCTGTTCTGGTCTGACATGCGGATCTAGGAGAAGGGGGAAGGCAGCTCAGAGCTCCCGGTGCTCCCCCCCAGCAGGGTCCCTGTGCCCATCTTCCTCTCCCTCCTGCCGGGCAAGAGCCAGCTCCCAGTTCGGGGCGGGCTGCCCGGGGCTCATCTCTTGCCCCGCAAGGTCCGGGGAGGCGCGGACCAGCCGGAGGTGTCTCGGCGCGGTGTCCCAAGGACACTGCTGCCCCGCACGCACCCGGCAAGAGGCATCCCAAGGGCAGCGGCGGCGGCAGCGTCCCCGCAGGCCCGCCGGCCCCGGGCTGCGGCGCTCCCCCGGCCCTTGCAGGCGGCTTCCCAAGGGCACCGGTGCCCCGGCCTGCCCGGGGCTCTGCGGCGGGCGGCAATCCCCCGCTCGCCCTTGCCTGAGGATGGCTGAGCATCCTCCCGCGCCGCCCCGCTCCCCCCGCAGCCCTCGGTACTCACGGCCGAGGGCCTCCGCCGGCACTGGCAGCGGCGGGGATGGAGCCGCGGCAGCCGGGCTGGCGGAGGGCCGAGCCGCCGGCATCTCCCGCATCGTCCTCCCGCAGGACAGAGCCGGCTCCCTCCACCCCGGCTCCCCCCGGTGCTCCCGGCTCCCTTCCCGAGGGCTCAGGGCTCGCGTTCCCGCTCGCCGGCTCCGCTTCCCGGCACACAGAGGGTCCCCCCCGCTGTCCCCCAGCCCCGCTGCGGCGGTACCTGGGCCTGCGGTCCTCCGCAGCGCTCTCCTCTTCACCTTCACCTTCACCTGCCTCCTAGCAACCCCGCATCCCCGCGGACGGGCACCGCGGCGAGCATCCTCCGGCCCCCGGCTCCCGGCTCCCTGCCTGCCTTCCCCGGGAAGGAGCCAGCTGCTTCTGCCTGCCGCTCTCTGCCGCTCTCTGCCACAAGAGCACCAGCCTGTCCCGATCCCAGGAAAAAAATCTCTCCGAAGCGGTTTCGGCGGATGAAGGTGCGGAGCGGAGCTCAGGGAAATGCCGGCGGCTGCAGCAGGACGAGCAGGAGCGCTGCTCAGGGAAGCCGGCGCTGCCAAGCTGCTGCCCGCCCCGGGGTGAATAAACCTCACCCGCACGCGTGCCAGCCCCGAATTCCCCTGCCACCTTCCTTTCCGTGATTTTTAGCGCACTGAGCCCTGGCGATGGGAAGGAGAAGGGTGGAATGGGGTTCAGTAAGACCAGGATCGACCCCACACCAGCATGAGCAGGGGGAGAGGGGTGCAGACACCCACACTGGGATCACAGCACTGAGGAGATGGTGGGAAAAGAGCTCAGGGAGATCCCCGTCTCTCCCTCCTTCCTAAAAAAGGGGTGGTTAAGCCATTTGAAAACTCCAGCTGTGGCAGTCCCACAACCTTCATCTCCACCACATTATCCTCAGTCTGGGAGGCTTCACCCAGCCCTGTTTTCCTGCTGCACATTAGGTTTGCTCCTCTCTGTCCTTCACCCACCTGCCAGTTCTCCTCCCAGACCTTGAGGAGCACACGCAACCCTTGAAATCCCTCCCACCCCGTCTCTGCTGAGCTGAGCACCGATCCAAACACACATTCCTTCGTGGGAATTATCCCACCACACTCTGCATCGCCCTGAGACAACCCACAACCCCTCCAGGCTGCCACTGTGCCGTGCTGAGGGCTCCTGTCCCTCTGCACAGGTGACAAAGTCACCTCTCAGGGGCCTCCTCCATCACTGGGACTTCATGAGGTCCCCACACCACAGGTGCCACCCATCTGTCTGCTGTCCTGGCAGGGACACAGGTCCTAAGAGGCACCATCTACGACAGGAATACACCACAGGCAGCAACACTTATTCCTCCTGCCATGGATCGCTGGGCCATAGGAGAGGAGAGATCTCCAAATGCTGGACCAACAAGCTGCCACATCACGGGAGTCTCCGCTGGTGAAGACCTCAAAAAGCAAACCTCAAAGGCAGTTTACTCCTTGCCCTTGTTTCTTTGGAGAGGGGGAACTGGCAGGTCTGGGTTTCTGCAGAGCCCTGAGGGGATGCAGTCATGGGGAGCTTTTTTCCTCGTGCCCACGCACGCTGTCCTGCACAATAAATCGCTCTTTCTCCTCCTGGGCGTTCCCGCCCACCCGATGCATTGCTGCACCCCACCCCCCTCCCAGCACCCCACCCCCTTTCCAGACTCCAGCCGTGCCGGGCAAAATGAGCCTGAGCTGCTCAGCACTCCCCACTTCGAGGGAAGATTCTCATTTTCCCACAGCTCCTGGAGTCAAAGCATTTCCACAAGCTCAGGGGCACAGAATGGCACAGCAGCCATGGCCTGGAGACAAATCCTGGCCTCCACAGGGTGAACCAGGATGAGGAGGGGTCTCTCCTGGCTCTGCGCCAGGTTATCCCAGTTTCTCTTAGTGTTTCTCTTCCTAATCTCCCATCAGGGGTTGTGTGCTCCCAGTCTCCATTCTGCTTCCACCACCTCAGTCTCAGCATCCCTCCAGAGCTTCCCAGTCCTCATCCCACTGGGAATCCCGTTAGCACATCAGTGGTCAGACCACGAGCCTTGTCCCACACAGTCCCTCACAGGTGACCCAAAAAGGACACCAGGACTCCTCTCTGCCCCAAGAGCAGCCAGCCTGGCAGCCATGAATCCACACAGCTGAGCTCTCCCTCCCAAGCAGGCTGCCGTGTCCATCCTGGCCAGTGGGGATGGTCCTCACATGGGATGAAGCCCCAAACCAAGTTGGGTTGGTGTGGACGTGGCCACGGGCTGGATGCTCGTGATATCTTCAGAGTGTGGGCTCTGCATCCTCTGTCCCCTCCTGACCCCATCCCAGCTCCTGTCCCCACCCTGTGTGACCCCAAAAAGGCAGCGTGAGCTGACACACATGACAATCCATCCAGATGTCTGGGACAGGCAGCTGCCTGCTTCCTGCCTGCTTCCTGCCTGCCCATTGCATCCAGCACCACCATCCCCTGCCCTTCCTCCCCGGGTCACCCACTTGGGCCTTCCTAGGCCTGAATCCTGAGGGCCCTTGGAGGCTCTGGTCCCTCTCATGGCATTGACTGGAAGCCCTTAAATTTTAAGCTTCCACGTCAAAAGGTGACTGAGGAGGGAGGGACAGAGTGACGAAGGAGAGGGTGGAGGGACAATTCTGTCCCTGTCCCCTCATCCCTCACCCAGCCCTGATCCCACCGTGGTGCCACGTTACCTCTCGTCCGCTCTCTTCCCACACCTCCTCCGCAGCCATCGGAGCCAATGTCACCCCACAAACAATGGGAATGCACCCGCTCAGGGGATGGGCCACCCCGGCCCCGCTGACTGTCCACGTGGCAGCTAAACAGGCAGGATTGCCCGGATCCTGGAATCCCACAGGCAGACTCCTCCGGGGGTCTCCGCTGCAATGCTCAGCCCAAAAATCGCCGTCGTGTCTGCAAAGCTGCTCCATCCCATGGTGTCCAACATCTCCCTGAATCCTGAGCCCTTATTTCAGCTTTCCCAACATGCCCAGCAGCTGATGGCCGTTAAACCACAGTGTGGTTTTGCTCTCTGAGCACAAAGTGCATCTAAAAATATCCTGCTCTGATGCTTCCCTTGCTCTGCTCCAAGAGCCGTGAAGATGCCCGGAGCAGCAACCGGCTTCCAGAAGGGAGGTCAGCCAGCAGAGGGATCCTGGCTGGAAGCAGGGATGTGTTTCTCCCTTCCTCACCCTGTTCCCCCAGATGGGTGTTGGGACGTGCTTCCCCGGGTGGCTCCGTGTCCCCGGCTGGGCGTTATCTGGTGGCAGCAGCTTGAGGGGCAGTGACAGGACAACCGTCACACCGAGACGTCACCGTGTTCCATGAGTTCCCAGCACATCCGTGTTGTGCAGCACGTTCAAATCCCTTAAAATTATATACTTTAAACTTAAATCCTTTAAACTTAAGTCCTTTAAATTTTTTTCCGGTGGTGGGTGCTGGACTCGGTGCCCACCGTGCTGGGTGGCTGCTCCGAGTGACCCCAGCAGGGTCCTGGGTCTCCTCTGAAGGTTGGAACAAGATGAGCTTTAAGGTCCCTTCCAACCAAACCATCCTATGATCCTTGCTCCATGCTCAGGAACTGGTATTCCGAATGGAAACCCACACAGGGGGAGTAGCGTTCCTGCAGGAACTGGCAGAGCCAGCCAGAAGTTTCATTTAATAATCCCACCATTTACTCACACCTTGGCACATTCTCTCATCCATCTGCAGCCAGCACAACACCCAAAATTCCACATCATCCCACCGTCACCTTGCTGCCCCACCACACATGTTGGAAGTCCCCCTTGCTGCACTTCCAAGTATTTCCCTCCTGCACATTCATACCCAGGATCCTCTGAGAAGCCAGGGAACATCCCAGTGCCCATCTGCCATGGTCTCCATTCCCAGCCAGCTCTTGGGGTGCCCCTTGGGGGTCCTGCTCCTCTCTGAGACTCCAGTGGGTCGGGCAGGATGCTGTGCAGGACCAAGCCCAGACTTCAGCTCATTCCCTTCCCAAGCCTTTGGGTGCTCCATTCACACTTCGTTCTTTCCAGCCCCCAGGGGACAGACCTTTACCACCGTTCCCAGTCGGCACCTGCTCATTCCCAGTCACTGCCTGCATCCAGTTGAGGTTCAGGTTTCCCCCATTCCACACGGAACCTCTTCCCAATCAGCAATTTCCCACCTCGCTTTTGTCCTCCCCCTGCCCTCGGTGCCTCCCTGTCCCCTCTCCCTGCCAACCTCGGGGGTGGGAGGACCTGCACCCTGCTGGGGTGGCACTGGGAGACACGTGGGAGTAACTGGGGGAAGCTGGGGGTGACTGGGGTTCAGTTGGGGGCGATTGGAAGACAACTGGGGGTAACTAGGGGAAGCTGGGGGTGACTGGGGGGCAGCTGCAATTGACTGGGAGACAAGTGGGGGTAACTGGGAGCAGCTGGGAGTAACTGGGGACAGCTGTGACTGCCTGGAGGCAGCTGTGGGTGAGTGGGTAGTGGGCAGCGAGGTGACATTGTGGGGCATTTGGGGTGACTGGGAGGCAGGTGTAGGTACCAGGTGAGCAGGTGGGGGATCGGGATTGTTCAGCCTGGAGAAGGGAAGGCTGCGGGGAGACCTCAGAGCCCCTTCCAGTGCCTAAAAGGGCTCCAATAGAGCTGGAAAGGGGTTTTGGACAAGGGCCTGGAGGGAGAGGACAAGGGGCAGCCGCGAGGCCGGTGTGTGGACTGGGAGGGTACCGGGATGAGCCGGGAGGGAACTGGGATGTGCCGGAGGCGGGCACTGGGGCCGCGGGGCCCCTTAGCCCCGCCCCTCCCCATAAACACGCCCCTATCCCGTTAGCCCCGCCCCTTGCTCATCTTAACTCCACCCCCTCCGTCAGCCCCTCCCTTAGCGCTGTGTCGCGCGGTGATGACGTGAGCAGGAGCGCGGCCTGTCCGCCATGGCGAAGACC